GTGATAAGTGATCAGTGTGTGAAACATAAGAAAAAGTATGTTGGCCAATTCTGACAGTTCATTTTAATGCCGATATTGGCTGATACCGATGATGTACCGATGTTATTGTGCATCCCTACATTTCACTACTTTTTTAAGATCTTATTGACCAAATGATGAATTCTGAATCAGGGCTGGGCAATATACTGATATTAAATTAATAATGTGATATGACAGAAGCTTCTCAAATGTGAGCATTTGATGCTTTTTGTCTTTGGTTTTCTGACTGTTGGTTGGACAAAACAAAACATTTTAACAAGGAAATTGTGACGGACATTTTACACTGATTTATTGTATTTTATAAACCAAAAATTCATCAATTGTCAGAAAATGAAAATATCTGTAATTGCAAAACTAATTCATTTTGTCAACAGACTGATATAACCACTATCTTTTCTGTGCACACAAATAAGGTTATCATAACTGAAAACAATCTACTTTAATGCCAACAATTGGCGGTAACTGTGCAGGAGCAGCTGTCCAGACGTATGGAGGAGTTGCAGGCAGAGAGGTCCAAAACTGAGGCTCATATCCAGTCTCTGAAGAAACGCAGGGCAGATCTCTCTGTAAGTATGAGACCAAAACCCCCCATTACTTAAAACAGCTACTCTACACACATCAGACCACCAGCATGGCAAACTGCAAACAGTTTGATGACATATGTAAAATCTTTTGGCGTGTATTTATGCTCTCCATGTTCCTCCCTGTAGAGGAGCACAGAGCTGATGAAGCAACAGGTTCGAGAGCACTTCCAGAACATGCGGTGTGTCCTGAAGCAGGACGAGCAGGCCGTCCAGGACTCTCTGGAGCTGGACCTGAGACAGACCAGGACCAAACTGGACTATGTTCTGAAGAACTGGGAACAGCACCAGGACCAGGTCACTAAGGGCATCAAAAGCATCCAGAGAGCACTGAGCAACAGCCCCGCAGCAGAGGAAGATGGGAAGGTCTGATTCAAGAGCTGTGCACTAACACTGTTTAAAAATCTAGTAATTGAAGGTATTTTAATCAGTTTTTCTGTGTGTCTCACCTCAAGGGTCAGTCCGAGAATCTGAGGTAAAACACTGCAACAACAGATTTCGAGTTTACAGCTCTATCTCCTGTACAGCCCTACTTAATACATCTCTGTCTCACTGCAATCTCTGTGATCACTCTCACAGTCCTAAGAAGCCAGATGCCTCTGAGATGGAAATTCGACTGAGTGAAGAGAGATTTGAAAGACTCCTAAAAACATTATCGTCCATCTCCAAACAACTGAAAGCTCAGCTGCAGAGGAAGACTCTACTGTTAGGTACTGAGGCTATTTTTTCTCTATTACATAAATCCATTACACAAGCTTTTAAGGCAGCAGGGTGTTGAAGTGAAAAATTGTCGGGAAAATGACCTTATCTAACCGTTTCTTTTTTTAAAAAATGTACTTTTTATTGACATTCAGCGACAAATGAAGTATGTACATCTACTTCAATTATTAGTCAAAGAATATCAGCCTGAATGTCCTTTTTTTAGGACAAAAAGAACACACAAGAGGGAGAAATGGTAAAGGAGGATTTATGCCTCGTACACACTACACAACTTTTCTGCCCGTTCTGAAAGTCACTATGTCAAATTACACTATTGTGTAGTCATAAAATCGTGCCGTGACTTGGCCGATAGACATGACACACTACACAATGATCCACACCAATTATCCCCGGTCGTCTTTCACAACGTGCGTGATGTCAACGGGTTATTCTTGTCCTATTTTTATTACTTTCATCATTATTTGAGTCACAGTGTCTGTTCATGTGCCAGCCGAAATGTTGTTGTAGTCACCAAAAAAGTGCCAGCAGATGGCAGGAGCTACATTTGAAGTATCATAGGTAAACATAAAAGTCACTGATTTCTCCACAAGTTCCTACAAATGTTTCACAATAAAAACGTATTTAGAAAATGGAGGGATTCTCTCAGCCGAGGTTATAAGGGGCTTTTTATTTGAAACAAGTTCAGGAAGTGTTGAGTTTGAAATGACAGTGCCATGCATTAACTTTATCAAGGCAACGGGAGCGGATAAAAAGCAAAAATATAAAAACACAGAGGGAATGATAAATAACGGCCCTTTTATAATGTAGTCTGTTTCAAATGAAGCTGGTAGCCTCTGCAGTTGTGGTGAGTAAAAGTCCCGCCATTATTTCTTAATTTTCTTACTTTAAATCATCTGGTGAAAATTCTTGTATTTTTTAATATAGCAATATATATTGCAAAAATTTTTTTTTTTGCAATGTCAGTTTTTTCCAATATCGTGCAGCCCTACATTCTACTGTAGCCTTTAAAATGTCTTTTTACCAAATTGTGTGGCTGCACTTTAACCTGTGTCTTGATCTATGTCAACACTGGATAATAATAATAAAAAAAAAAGTTTTATGGCATTCATTCTACCATTATGTATTTATTTCTTAATATTTTACATTTACATACACAGTTTTAGGAGTTGAGAAATACAACAATTCATATCCCATCCATTTTTATTTTACACGCTGGTATCGGATCGGTACTCAGTATCTGCAGATTCAGGGTTCAGGGATCGGCATCGGTATCGGTATCGGGAAGGAGAAAGTGGTATCGGTACATCTTTAATTTGAACCATATGCCCTTTCAAATAGGTCTAACAGCTGTTTGCTTGATTCTGCTACGCATTTTATGTTAATCACTGACAAAATGTCTCATCTGTAAGTAATGATAGAAATCCTGTGCTTCTAATGAATATGTCTGTCTCTAATCCTTTCAAAACTAAGTTGTATACCTTCCTTCATTATCTTACATAAGGCCGGTAATCCTTTATATGTCCAATCCTTGAATCTAGTATCTAATTTATTTGCAGCAAAATGTGTATCATATGCACACCACTTAAGGATTACTATATCGTCTTCTAATTTGTATTCTGTTATTACTGTTTTCCAAATTTAAAAAGTGAACTTGATCCATGGGTTTTTTATATTTTTTTATACAGTCTTGCATGTTACTATCAGCTATAATTGCTTGTATGGGAATGGAGGTCAGGCCCTCTTCAATGCTTTTCCACTTACATCGTATGAGGGATTACACCAGCATATCATAGGCCTTAACTGTGCTGCCCAATAGTAATCCCTGAGAGAAGGAAGGCCCAATCCCCCTTTTCTTTTAGCCAATTGTAAAGTTTTATATCAAATTTGAGGCCTTTTACCTTGCCATATGTATCTGGACAAACTTTTGTCCCAGTCATTAAATTGTTTTTGGCTTATTTCAATTGGCAGGGTTTGAAATAAATATAATAATTTGGGTAGTATATTAATTTTGATAGAATCTATTCTTGAGTAAAAACTTAGATATGGGATTAGGTTCCATCTCGCTATATCCTCTTTAATTTTCCTTTGTATTGGTGAGTAATTGCATTCTAATAGTTCTGTGATATCCTTAGGTATCATAACTCCCAAATATTTAAGATAATCAGTTTGCCACGCTAGATGGTACTTACTCTTGATTTCTTCTGGTGGGCTGTAATTGTATTTAAGCAGTTGTGTTTTACTTAAATTAATTTTGTAGCCTGATAATTGACCATAATATTCAAATGATTGCATTAGTCTAGGTAGAGAGTTTGTTAGTTGACGCCGGAAGATCAAAATATCGTCTGCATTGCAGGCTAAATTATGCTCCTTCCCATGAATATTAATGCCTTTTATTTCTTTGTTTTGTCTTATATATTGAGCAAATGGGCTCAAATATAATGCAAATAACAGTGGTGAACACGCACAACCCTGCCTTGTTCCTCTCTCCAAAGTAAAACATGTTTGATAAGCAGCCATTAACTTAGATTCTCACAGTGGGTATATAATGCCTGTATTGTTTTAATTATTTTTTCATGTAGGCTAAATCTATGTAGAACCCGATAAAGAAAGCTTCAATTCACTGAATCGAATGCGTTCTCCCCATCAATACTAATTACCATTGCTGCTATTTTATTCTTTTGAATATGATTAATAATTTGTAATGTCTGTCGTATATTATCTTGCATTTGGCGCTTTCGGAAAAAACCTGTCTGGTCATTATGTATCAAATTAGGTAAAAACTTTTCTAATCATCTAGCCATGATAGAAGTGAACAGCCTACAATCTGGACTGATATTGGTCTATATGACCCACATTCCAATTCATCTTTATTTTCTTTTGGAATGGCAGACATTATTGCTTCTTTCCAACTAGGTGGTGTTTGTGCCTTCTTTAGGACCCAATTCAGTGTAGGAAGCATCACTGGTATTAGCTCTTCTTTCAGCTCCTTATACCATTCTGCCATATAGACAGGTTTCTTGCGTACAAACAATACTAGGTGCGCGCGCATCCAGGGGGCAAAAGACTACTTCAGAGTGAATTGATATCAATGTAGATGCCGTATTGTTTGTAAGTTCTTGCTGAAATGTCCATAAATTTTTAATCTATTTGCTATTTTACGAGCTCAGCCATAATGAGCACCAATAGCACAAGCATTAACGTTAATTCAGAGTTAAAGAAAATCGTACACTACATGTAACATTAGCTGTTTGAAGACACTTTCCCACCTGATTTTCAGCCTGAACCAAGAAACCTAAACCAGCCATGCACCTGTTAGTACTTAACAACAAAAGCTAAACTTAACGTTACAACAGAGAGCCAACGTTAAACTTTACAAATGTTAAGGTAGAAGACAGACAAATTTGTTGGCAAGTTAGTTAGGCCATGACCTACTGAATCAAACTAATATTGTCTCATTAACTATGGTAAAATCACACGCTTACTCATTATCCAGCTCATGTTGGCAAACACAAACATACCAGACACGAAGTGGGAGCTGCACAGACTCTCACTGCATTTAGGACCTTCGGGACACTAATCTGCCCTTTTAATGGCCTGGAGCCATAATCTTCTTCTTCTTTTGGCAAACGAATGAGATCCCCTGGGGATATTATACAATTTCCACCCATCCTTTTGCCGGTTTGTGCAGTTAATAGCACAACAACTCCTTGTCATTTTCTTTTGCTGCTTGACTCCGCTTGTAAACAATGAGAAATGTCCCGCTTTCTGCCCCCAGGCTGCGCGCGCATACAGTACAGGCCAAAAGTTTGGACACACCTTCTCATTCAATGCGTTTTCTTTATTTTCATGACTATTTACATTGTAGATTCTCACTGAAGGCATCAAAACTATGAATGAACACATGTGGAGTTATGTACTTAACAAAAAAAGGTGAAATAACTGAAAACATGTTTTATATTCTAGTTTCTTCAAAATAGCCACCCTTTGCTCTGATTACTGCTTTGCACACTCTTGGCATTCTCTCCATGAGCTTCAAGAGGTAGTCACCTGAAATGGTTT